CAGTGTTTCCTTTTCCATCGTACCACTTGACAGGCCGTGATGTGGCCGCGATGACATTCCGGATATCTTCAGAGCTGTAATCTGGATGCTGCTGTTTGACAAGCGCAGCGATGCCGGCGACAAACGGGGTGGCCTGGCTAGTGCCTAACGTAACACACCTATCAATGACAGTGCTCGCATAGCTCGCGGATAGAGGTTCAACTTACCACTGACCACTCCATAGCCTCCAAGCCATCCAGGGAAAGTACTCAAGATATTTCCTCCGGGGGCATGGAATGCGGGCATGGATCCTGCTCGAAGAGTTGGGCCCCAGCTGGTGAACACGGAGCTCATGAGACCAGAGCGGTTATTGGCCTTATAAGTGAGACTAACATCTGCAAAAGAGACCTCGTTGGCAAGGAACACCTGAACGGAACCGTGCTTTGCCTTGGCATCCAGTAGTTGCTTTGCTGTTTCATAGTCAACCGTGACAGCCCCTTTCTGGTTTGCTGCGGAGACCTTGAGGAATAGCGGGCCTTCAGAGACCGTGTAATTGCTCCAGCTGTAGTACATGACATAAGGGATGCCAAACTCTTTCGTGAGTGAGACTGTAGAGTTATCGGCTGCCATCCAGCATTGGTCAAACTGGGAGAGGAAAATGACTTTGGACAAGTCGGCCGGCAAACTAGACTTATCAGGGAGCAGCTGGCAACCATTGGTGTTGGGTGTGTCTGAAGTCCAGACTGTCAGCCCTTCTTTTGATGGGAAATCGAACGGCATGCCAGGGACAAAGCGAAGCGATCCACCTTCACCTCCTGCGGTCCAATTGCCTCCCCAGTTGTAGTAAGGAGTTTGCGAGTTGTCGGTAGACCCAACGGCGGCGATAGCATCTGCACCCCCAGGGCTGGCGCCTGTGAAGATGCCAGGGCCACCGTTTCCGGCTACAAGGGAGATATAGGTGCCATTGTTGAACAGTCGTGTGGCTACGATAGACCAGGGGTCTTGAACCTGTCAGTACTTCCCCTTCTTTGAGTTTAGAACTTAGAATGGGGCCGAATTACCTTCAGGGAAAGTAAGGGCACCCCCATATGAACATGATATAACGTCGACGCCTCTTTCTGCAGCTTCGAGGAACGAGTTGATGATCGCGTCATCCGTAGTTCCTGAAGTACAACCTGTGATGCGGTAAAGCTCGTATGTGGCATCAGGGGCCACGCCAACGACACCAAACCTCCCCTCATCACCCTTGGCTCCTACAATACCCAGAACATGTGTGCCATGGAAGGAACAGTTGTCACGAACATCATTGTCGCCGTCTGTCATGTCGTGAGCATAGACAATGTTGGTCTTGCTGAGGCCCGGAGTATCGATGTCGAAACCGCTGTCAATGACTGCCACACGGATGCCTTTACCAGTGATATTGCTGGCGTGTAGCTTCGACACCCCAGTATCAACATGCGTCGGCAAGGTATCGGCTGCGATATTGTCTCTTGCTTGGAGAGCCAAGACCTGAGACAAGTCGCGCGTGGACGAACCATGAGTGCTGCTTCCCCAATCGCCGTCAGAAATACCTGGAATTCTCGGCATGTGGACGGCTGGTGCTGCTGAAGTTACAGGCCAGGCCTTCTGAATGCCATCAATCGACTGTATGGTCGACAGCACCGCCTTCTGAGAAACTCCATTGTTGGTGCAGTCGACGTTGAAAGATCCGCCTTGAAATACAGCGTGAGTGAAATGATATCGCGAAGATGCAGTGCAGTCTAAGCCAGAAGCTGCCAAAGATGCCTGAGTCCGGCTGATGAGATCTGCTGGGCTCTGTTGCTAGGTTAGTGGCATCTACGCTACCGGGACACACTTGGGTGGCTTTACCAATTGCACTGATGAATCGAACTCAACAACAAACGCGTCATTGTAATCAGCCACAACCAAGCATGGGAGGCAAGCTGCGAAGGCAGCCTGCTTAATGAATGACTTCATGATGGTCCGGCGGACAGCTGAGTAAACCAAAATAATTTCAACCGTGATCCTTCGACCACGATCAATAATCGCCTCAATCCTTATAAAAGATCTGAGGTTCCTGGGAAAGACCCCTGACTCGCGCAGACCATCGCTTGGCCCCTACTGTAAAGTGCAATACGGGCTTTCGCTTTCGGTGCAAGCCGAATTGTCAGTGGCCGAACTCTAACAAATTGAGCGCAATTACCGACTTCTCCGTGTGCACCTCACTGTACGATCCTCGACGTGCTTCTTGCGCCTTGCCGCAGAAATAGCATAAAGGGGTCGGCCCTGGATGTCCGTTCTGTCCACTCATCCTTTGGCCTAGTGACGGCTTGAACTCTGAGCGTGCAGTACGCACAGTGTCATTGTAGTTCTTAGATTCTTGCACCTGGACTGCACGTGGCAAGATCATGCTTCCAAGTCTCTTAACAAGGCATTGATTTGGGAAACTGAGCTTGAATTTCTGCTTGAGCAAACTTTCCGTGCGATGAGCTGACACCCACAAGATTCCAGACTGGTTCCCACTTTGGAGACAGGCAACCAGACCATACATGCCCGTACCTGCTCCGGTTTGGCCGCGCCGAGACGTCCGTATTTGTTCGTTCGAACAGCCATAGGAGGGGAGCATCTCTCGTAGGCCCGCTAGACCGGGGGTCGAAAGTCAAACGGCTCACAGGCCAGCCCTCGTAGTCAAGCGCCTTCGGCTAAAACCCTTTGGAGCACGCGTTTCTTCTGATACAAGTTTGGATACTCCGTACTGTTTAGACCTGATGCTGCACAATTGTGCTATCGTTTGCCGCGGTCATTAATGGTATTGGCTTATGCGCTATTCTCACGATCTGTGAATTTTGTTCATCACGTCCCCGTGCAGCAACCCAAAATTGATTTCGTGACTCCTATCGTCTGTCAGTGCACCAGGCACCTCATCAAGTGAATTGGTCGGAGATAGTCGAAGGTTGCGCAGTCTCGCTAGGCGAGCTTTTCTGATATCAGACTACCTTGGATACCTGAGAACTTACACGTAGTCAAGTGTCCAAGCCACATTCGTCGCTCGGCGCCATTAAGCACAGGCACTCCGGGATATGCAGGACTTACATTACGACCATAGAGTGCGTTTTCGACCTACATACATGCAAATTCAACGCCTCATGTAATAATATCAATCTCTGCCAACAGCCCATTTGGTGGCATCCCTCAACCAAGAAAAGACCATGTCCGTTCCCTTTGACCCGTTTCTGGCAACAAGGCCCCTCTTTGGGTCGGGGTCTGGACCCGGCGCGTTGAAAGCTTCGACCAAGCGCGTGTTGTCTTTGCCAACTTCCAAAATTGATCCTCCGACAAGAGCTTCCTCCTCGACGCATCGTAGCATTGCCTCAGCAACCTCTCGCGGGGTGACCCAACCATCCTGCGCTTCGTCCAGATTGACCAGCTTCTCCGGATGCTCAGTCCAGAGCGGCGTCCGTACGACACCCGGTGCAACAGCGTTAACGCGGACCCCATTTGTCTCTTCCAAGCGAGCGAGACTGCGGACGAACCCAGTAATAGCGAATTTGGAAGCTGCGTAGAGAGGAGCATTGATGTTTGCAACCTGTCCAGCCACTGATGAAATGTGAACTATGCGCTTTGGGTTTTCGGGCGAAGCTTCGATAGAAGGTGGCAAGGCGGCGTTCGTGGCCTCCTTGGGATGAAGCCAGTACGAGATGGCCAGCTGCGTAGAACGGATGGGATGGGTGATGTTGATATCAAGCAGAGCATATTTCCCGCCTTCTACACTGTCCTTGCTCTCGGATGACCCAGGAGGGTGCCAGAAGTTGGACCAGTGCGGCTCATAGACACCCGCTCCGGGACAGAAGATGTCGAAGCTCCCAAATTCCTCCATGGCGACCTTGAACATGTTGGATAGTGCCGGCCATGATGTCACATCGGTCTTGACGAAGACTGCGCGTGGCCTGGCGTTCGACTTGTCTTGGTAGCTCGAAACGAGCTGCTCCGCCTCCGGCCGAAGAGCCAGGTCAGCAATGACGACATTGCAACCACGCTGAAGGAGCAGCTCAGCAAAGGAAAAGTTGATACCTAGGATTAATGAAATTACTAAATATTTTCTAATGCGGTGGTGACAGGTCCGCTTGGTTGATACCTGAGCCAGCCCCTGTGATAATGGCCGTCTTTCCGACCACGCTATAAGGTGCGATTGATTTCTTGGTGGGGTGCGTCATCTCGCCGAATATGTTGGAAGTATGGAAAGACCAGCTGCTAATCGATAGAAACTTGATTGCCGGCGTTCGCAGTTCACGAAGGCAATCCTTTGAAGTAATGTACCACGGTGTTATGAGGGTGCTACGGGAGACGATTTTGTGATCTGAATGATGTTAATCTTGGGGCAATTGAGTAGGGGTAAGTAGCACATCGAGAACTTTGGCGAGGGGTGAGAGTATGGATCGGCTTGTACACGCTCACGAGGCCGACGATCGGACCCTGAGCTATGTCGAATGAGACGAACTGGCGAAAGACAGGTCCACGCAGTCTGTAACGCCATGTATGGCTTCTCCACGGGGCGTGCTCCGTTTACCCCGCAGAGGAACTCGTTGAGACGAGTGGAGGCATGGCTAACCTCATCCAGGCGCTTAGACTTGCCTCAAGTAGGTACTGTGATGCCACTACATTTTTGCCCACCAATGCCGACTGGAAGAGAGCAAGATCAACGAGTGGCTGGTTCACTAGAGACAACAGAATCCTACAGAGTCGTAGAGCAAGTATCGGATGGGAGGACTGCTGATATTCGAAATGTACCAGCATTCTGATATGCTATTCAAATGAAAGCATGTAAAAATCAATCGTCCATAAATCTTTATTACAACTAGGTGACTGAAGGCCATCGGAATTTCAACACCTGCCCATCAGGAAGACGAGAAAGGGCATAAAAAGACGTACCATACCAAGGCAAACTCGCCAGATAACCTGAAGCTTAATCTATTGAAGGGTATTGAAATTGTAAATCAGAAACTACCTTAGTTAACAGCTTTTCAACCATCATTCTTGAGTACCTTTTGCACTGAGTCCACCACGGAGCTGAATTTCCCCAGAGTCATGAGTGGTGAATTGATTGTCATCCGAGCGAAGAAACCGAGCGTTGAAACCAGATATCTGAAGATCGTGGCCCGCTCATTCGCCCTTGAGATGAAAGTCGCAACGAGGCAGAACGAACTGACGGCAATGCGCACCAAATTCCTGGAAGAGTGTTAGGTTAGTGCTAAGAGCGAAGAAGACAAAGCGACGGAGACATACTGATCTGTACCCGCCTTGGTGGGATCGACCTCGACGAGTAGTTTCAAGATATCAATAGCAGACTCAAGAACCCTTTGTTCGATCTTATCAGTGCTTGAGTCACCCAAAGAACTAGCTGAAAAACGTCCACAGACGCACAACACTAGCTCGAAGTAGAGTAGGCTTGCTGAGATATCCCCCTCTGAAGGTGTCATACACGGACTATTCGGTGAGGCGATTCTCGGATCCCACGTCATGGCTGATGCGGGCTGATGCCGTGTCGTGAAGACGTCAACTTTCAACTGTTGAAGCTGTTCCAACCAGTTGTCTAGATTCTCTGATGTGAAGACCATAGACTGTGAAAGAGCTTCCTGACTGTCAAAGTCGCTTGCTATCCTGGCACAACATTGAGCTAGACGGTAATGAACCCCAAAGGTTTGCATCAACGGCTTTCTGGCTTCGATCCCGGAAGACATCGGCTCGTGGTCGATGTAGGCATCATTCAAAGCCTAGGCAAGAGTATATAGGTTAGTGTATGACTGATATGGCTAATGCATAGAGTCGGCAGGCTTACCGAAGCTTGTCCGTTTCGCAATCGATACGGCTTTTCGATAGTGTACAGCAGCCAGAACGCGTGCTTTAATGATTCGACCTCTTCGGTCGTTTGACAAACTGTCTTCAAGCATGCTAGATTGTTTAGTTTAAGGGATTGGGCGCAGGAGACTGCAACTCCTAGCAACCAATCCGTGTCCGCTGGTTTCCACAAGGCTGAGGCAACAAGCTTTGCGAATGGTGTCAGCTATAAATGAGAATTTCACATACTAGTGTTTAGAAGACTTTCAAATCGACTCCTATACTTACAAGTGTAATAAGCGCCTAAATAGTTCAGTCAGAATGGCTCGCTGTACTCAAGTAGCGCGGTGTGTAGAGGTACCTTGAAGCTCAGAGCTGTTGAAGGGCACATGTGTATTTTCTCGATGTGCACCATTGCGTTGCTATATAAGCATCTCATGTGCGATTCTGTCTCTTGTGACACTCCGGATCGCCTCATCGAGGTCAAACAACCGATAGAAAGGGCCGCGTACACGATCGAACTATTGACATGGTCCGACATCCCCTTCATAACCACATCTTCGAAGAGTCGTGAAATCTCAGTCTCTCCTATGTATCTCGACCCACTACGAGAGATTGTTAGAGAACAATCGATCTGTCAGAATCGTATGCTATAATTTCGAATGACTCACAGATATGGTTCAGATGCGGTGAAAGCTAAGGGTCAAAGTTAGCCCCTATCTCCATATCTATCTAGACTGCTCTGGGAACTGATAGCAGTGTACCATGAAGAAACTCAACTAGTGTTTCAAGGCTGGGCTGAACTCTTTGATAAGTGTTCTCCGGAAGCTTCGGGCTGTAACAGCAGGTGGTAGATTCGTCTACAAGATCCATGAGGTTCTGTCCGAACTGTTTAGAATTGCAAGAACTCCGATCCCGTCCTATGAGGAGCTTCACCATATCGGTTGTTGAGTACGCAGATGTTACTCATCATCTTGTCAGCTAAGCTCAGGTGTTCTAAAATCATGAAACGTAGTCATACCACGAACAGGATGGTCGACAGTGCTCTCGTCGTTGGCTGTCTGCAGATTTGAAAGATTCCAGCCGGCTGTTGCCAGACCGTCAAAATCCTGTAGACCAGAAACGCTATGTCCATTGGACAAAAGCTGTGTGCTCCAACAATACTCCAATGCCGAAGAGACTGGACTGGCGATGATCTCCGTGCTTTGTATTCCTAGAGCTTCAGGCGAGTTCAACAGACCACTTGACAACGGTCCCCAGTGTTCTTCGAGGGATTCAGTTGTCATAGTGGTCGGGAATTGCCCAAGATCCAAGAGTCTGTTCACTCCAGAGAGTGACGACTGAGTTGATGATGACCCAAAGTAGCGTAAGTGGTCTGTTGGTGATGGGGGTGATGTGGACTGCTGTGACGCATAGCTGAAGTCTTCGAATGAAGCACTCTGTCTGGTTGTTGCGTTCAAGCCTGAGAGGTTGTGCTTAGTTACTGTATGGTAATCAACGCAGTCTGTTTGGATCTTCCTACTGTTTTGGCTGGATCTTCCTCTCTTCTTCGGTGTGACATAGAAGCAGAATGAGGCGGATGACTGCAGATCATGAGAATCCAGTCGTACTGTCGAGGCACCAGTACACTTACGAGGCACTTATCGCAGCTCGGTCTACCACCATCGCCTAAAAGTTGTCAGGTTGTCATTGTAAAGATTTGTTTGAGCATCCCAACCCACATCTTCGCTTTCGTACTTTGCAAGTCTCGCAAGCGCCAGGTCGACGTTTGTATACTCTCCCGCCAACGTCCGTGGTGTTTACTGAAGTCGGCGAAGACATCGCATGAAATAGCTTGGAATGGAATATGATGGATGGGATGGCAGAGGAAACAGACACAAGAGAGCTTATATCGTCGGGGTCAAGGTGTGTTGTGGGGGTCTTGGAATATGTAAACCATCCCCGCTTCATGTTCATCACAGCTGTGCGTAGTTCAAAGCACTGATAGACCCCGGGCCGTGATTTCCGAGTCGAGATGCAGGAGATCGTCCCGCGAGGACCATCCAAGGTAAGGTAGGCTGATAGCCCGATCCCTGTCCAATGAGTCCTGAAAGATCTAGCCGGCCATGGTTCTTGGACTACATGTAACAAATATCATGTCTCTTGAGGACGCTACTAAACCTTGAACAGGCAATGCTTGAGTCCTGCAATCATCCAGACGCCTCGTGGAATGGATTCTGCTGGACTTCTAGCCGAACTTTGATGGCTTGACCCCCCTCCCCTCCCTACCTTTCAGCTCAGGTCCCCATTGTTTCTAGGCCCGTTCCTATTCCTTGGATAGTAGTAGCTTGGGTGCATATCGAGAGGGACACATGTCTGGAGGTCAAGGCCTCCGTTCCCCCTCTTTGGAGTCGGCCCCACCCGCCGCATCGTTCACTTCGTGTTCCTATCTAAAAGCTCAGTGCGACAGCCACGGAGTTCCATTGGAGAAAGAGTTGTGATGATCTGTTTCAGAAGATTCGTTTATCCGAAGAAGGCTTCCTTGACTATTCCAGATGGTGAGCATTACCCGCAGGTCTGAGAGAGACTTGTGGATCAACTTCGGATTTCCCTCTCAAACCTTAAGGTCATACAATCAAGAGCTTCGCTTCACTAGGTTGATATCTGTTCATCTTATAGTAGAGTAGCTTGCTGAATTCACAAGATGATCACCCACTCGTGTTTTATTTTGCAGCGGCCTGCTTCTTTTCGTCGCCTCTTTCTCTTTCTCACTCTGGTATAAATCATCACTTCATATGTACTCCTGAGTCTGGGCGTTGTCCCCCCCCCCCCCCCCGCTGCGTTGGACAGCTTTCTGGTCCGGAATGATGTCCGAACTAGTGACTGAGGCGAGTGACTGACGACAGATATGTTCATTGTTATCATCGCCATCGCAACTTGCATCGATGATCGCCATGGGAAATGGTATCAGCGCTGCCAGCCGGATTACTTCACCAGGGCTAGGAACTCAAACGGTGCACAAATGGCCTGACTTTGACTTGCCGTGATGTTATCCGAATGAATGTTGGACAAGATTAGACCTCCCGCTAGGGTCACAACTCAGGTGTCGAGGAACATATGCATGCGTTGACTCGGGTGCAGGTGCGCGAACTCTACTTACGACCCAATTCGTGGTTTGAAGGCAGGCTAAACCCTTGCTCGTAGTCTCCTGGAGTCGAAACTAGCGAAGCTTGGTAAATCTTCGGTAATGTTAAACTCTTTCGATTGCATCGTTTGCCACAACCAACTACCATCGTGGCCTGATTCCAGACTAAGCCCATGCCAGCTAGAACGGGCTTGGCCCTGTTCTGCCCGCTTTCGTACTTGGTCGTATTGTCCTCAGCCCTATCCGACGGCCTGGGTGCTAGCCTCTCCATCCAGCAATCCCCAACCACATATGACTGGGCGTAGAAAGTTTATTGCAAACCCCAATGGGGCGAGCTGACGCAAACAAAAACTCAGTGCCTCACGACTTCGCCAAGGTCGCGCGGGGAACTGTCAGTCCCGCGGGGTACTGGTTCGCCTCAGTAAAGTTCTAGGTGCAAGTGGCCGGCAGGCAAAAGTCCACGGTCCCCATCCATAGCCACCTTATCTTGCATTGGCTACCTTACATGAAGAATAGCTTTTGCTGCTCCTAGCGTACTTACTGTGTGCCAGAGCTTCTCATCTGAAGTCTGGGTGATATCAAGCATTCTGGAGTTGCCTACAGCAGCATAGCGTCAACGTTTCTAGTTCGAATGGGCACCTCCGAAAACGCTTCATATGCCATGAACATGGCCAATGGGACGTGGCTGAGCCCACTCAGATGAGCATAGTCATTACAATGAGGAATCAACTGGTCACTCCATGTGTTTCCGCATACGTTTTTTCTCTATTGCATACTTCACTAGCCTTGATATGCCATTTCGCCCAGAAAGGAATTCGAGGGCCTTGTCATGTCGGGTCGTTTCATATCTCCGACATTGACTATCTTGGGCCAATCCGTCATGTCATAATACTCACGCGTTCTTTGCAGGGAGAGGCCGAACTTGACCGGATATCCCGAGAGGACAAAACTCGCCGGGCTTACACACAACCGGGAGCAGCCGTGGCGTTATTCTCATGCTGGGGTCGGGTGTGCGGTGGGGGGCAGAAATCTCCAGTTTCACACAAAACCCCCATCGTTCTGTCGTCTGAAGCTTTACTCTTTTCTCAAGATGACTTTTACTGTAAATTGAGTTGATTGGAAAGTCCAACCAGTCGCAACCTCTGCCGCCCCACGCCTCCCAATGCCTCCCCACGGCTTATTACCCACCGCGGCTATCTGGGGACGCTGGCAGTTACGGCTATATTCTGACTTCGGGCCATTAGGAGTAGCGATGCTTTCTTTGATAGCCACATTTGGATGCAACTAGACCCCGTTGTTCTCGAAGAAGACTCATGATGGCGATCATTGTCGGGAGGTCGGGCCTTGCCCCGTCAGAAGTGTGAGTTTCCGGCCGGTGTTCATTGCACGCTAGGTGAGGCTGTGCCTGTGCCGAGATCCGACCACGTCTCATGAACAGGTGAGGAAATAAGTCTAAATAAATCGCTCATGACGTTGGAGAATTCCTGATCAGCTATGACTGGGCAGATAAAAGTCGAAATGATGCTCCTGCCTCCCATCCTGCAGATATGGATAAGGCCGCCACAGCAGGCCGTGAGCGGCAGGATTTTTCTTTCCAATGGCATTTGCACTGCAGAACCACAGACCACTAGACTAGCCGTAGATAGATGAACAGAAAGGCACAGAGCAGCCCATCGTCGATGCATTCAGAGCTTATACCAGCTATGAATTTGACCCAATCAAAGGATCCCTCACACGATGAAAAGCGATGGCCACGCTTTGCCTGACTCAGGAATCCGTTGGCAGTAGTTTGGAGAGCCATACAGATGCACCGACATCTAACATTGACCACAGTTAGCAGCAGATTCCTCCACATGCTCTAGGACGTTGAGCGTTCAGCTGCATATAATATGATCTGGATGGAGCCATGCCAAGAATCACGGACCAGGAGTGTCCGAATCGAGTCACTCAGTAGCTTATCGTCATTCACTTTCGTCTTCTTCTGGGAAGAGATCGTTCACTCACTAAGTGGACTGGCTCGATTAGGCGACAACACCCGCAAGCCAGATGCCATGGTGCCTCCACAGCAGGAAAGCCCTGCTTCCTTGTCCTCACAGATCACTCTCGAAGTCTTCAGCACGGGGTCTATGAGAAACATTGAGTCGGACGTTGAGTAGATACTGCTTGATGTTGAGTCATTTCGCCGAGATTTGCGGCTGACATGATAATCGGCGCATCAAGAAAGTACCAGGGCAGTAGCGCTACCAGCTCGCCCAAGAAAATAAGGCGAAATTTGCCTTCCTCATAATCCTGTCACCGCTCACATATGCTGCACTTAGTCAAGCTTAGAGTCGGCTAAATGGACCTTCCCCGCGCGTTACACCGTAGAGCCATTGAACCTTTTCTGCTATATTATGACTCAGTGAGAACTCACTAGCGATAGTAATGTAGTAACTACATGTTGAATTGAGACAAGAGCCACGATCAGGGCCAGCTGCTGGGGGTCTTGTACTCGATAAGCAGACTTGACAGCCCTGACAGCCCTGACATCGGCTTTTCCGCGGCGCTTCGGCCCGAATTTGCCATGATCATGTACCTCAAGCACAATATGGATCATTGACCCATCTTGCGTAGAGAATACATGGAGACAGATCACTGGCAGTGATCAGATCCTACCAAACCCGGGACAATAGGAGTAAAGACTGATAGGAATAGCTGCACATACTAAAGCTGAGAAGTAGACAATTGAGCTTATTGGAGAAATGTCTATGATATAGGAAGTAGCAATTTCATGCAGTCTCAGAAATACAGCTCTTGTTTGAACTTCAGGATATTGCCATTAATGTTGACTGCTCTCTTAAAACCTTGCTGAGATTTTCCACCCCACGGCAAACACCCTGACCGCGGCGTAGCAAATGAAAGCAAGAAAGTAAGAGACACCGGAAAACAAGATCAGGCCCTTCCAATTCTGACCTCCTTCCTTTGCCTCGAGGATGGCACCAGCAATTGGCAAACTGCTCAGAGTGCCGAAGCTGGCCATCATCATCGCCGTAGACAAATACCGCCCATATTCCCTCGCGTCACACAATTGGCCTAGACAGACCGGGACCAGGCCCAGGTTACTTCCGCTTGCGAAACCGAATATAGCCACAAAAGCTAAGAGCATTGGTTGAGAGTTGCCCG